GTTATCAGATACTTACAGAGTACTTGCTATGCTCTAGGGGGTGGGATACACTGCAAAGAAGATGCTGTCTCAGCCTCGAGGAGCTGAGTCTGGAAGGAAAGACATGTAAAGAGATCATTGCAAACACGGTGGGATTCGTGTTTTAGAGCTTAGGGGTTGGGCCTGGCCGACTCCGCTGGAGGGTTGTGAGGGCAGCATTGGGAGGCGAGGCCAGAGGACGTGATGCATTTGAGCTGAGTCCTGAAGGATGGTTGGCAGATGGGGACAGTGCATCCCCAGCAGAGGATGGAAGGGCACGTGGCATCGCTCATTCTGGGAACCACCAGCTCTTTGGTTCAGTGCACAGGGAGTACAGGAGGAGCTGTCGGCAGAGACCCAGTGCCAGCCCCTGGGGGTACACTTTATGGTAAGGGCAGAAGGAGCCTTTGAAGGGCATGAGGCAGATCTGATGACAGTAGCTTGGAGGGATGGATTGGGTGGGGGCGTTAAGAGACCCTCACACCTCCCTGTCTTCTGTAAATGCCCCTCTCTTTGCTAGAAAGCCCCCATCCTTTGACTGTCAGGGACCCCTGAAATGTCGCTCACTCTGGGAAGTTTCCTCCACCCCAGCCCCATCCTTAAGCGCTCTTTCATCCATCCTTTGTCCCAGAGCACTTAGGGACACTCAACCCTCGGCCTTATCATGGTGCGCTGACCCTGGTTGTAGGAGGTCAGCTTCCCCACAAGCCCCCTGAAGACAGGGGCCTTGCCTTGGTCCTGCCCACTCCCCTGTCCAGCCTGGTAGCTGTGAAGGCCCTGCCCCAGGTAATGCTAAGCAATGCTCTCCCACTGACTGCTGATTACTGCAAGCCCCAGAGTAGTTGCCTGACCTCTCTGGGCACCAGGTCCACCTCTAGGAGAAAAGTCTTTACTCCTGCCTCTGCAGGTCTGGAGTAGATCTCAGTTGGAGCAAGGCCAAGGATTGTAATAATACTAGAGAAACTTAGAGTTCAGTCCACTGTGTTCTGGAACATTTCACTCATTTTTTTCCTCACAATAATCCTTTGAGGTCAGTACTGTTAGTTTTACTCCTTTTACAGATGTGGAAACTAAGGTACAGAGAGATTAATTCCCCCAAGGTTACATGGCTAGTATCAGCAAAGCCAGGATTTGAACTCAGGTAGTACTGGCCCCAGAGCCTTTGTTCATAACTGCTGTGCTATCCTAGAACCTACCTGCTCCTGCTCCTTACTTAAAACCGCAGACAAAGGACTTCATGAATGCTCACTCTCTCCGTGGCCCCCTTGCCACAACCTCTGTGTGGCCCGGATTTCAGCTCTGGTACTGTATGTTCCACTTCTCCCTGGCGGCCTGCTCCTGATGGGCTAGCGGTTCCTGGGAGCTCCTGAGAGAAGGAACCTTATAGAAACCTCTCATCTTGGGAGTCCTAGCCTGAGTCCTGGGTCTGAGGATCCTGCCTCCAGCCCCCTGCCAAGGGCTCTTCCCCAGCTATGCCATCTGCCTTGGGCGTTAGGCCACATCCAAGTGAATCATTCCAGGGGACTCAGGCAAGGAGGAAGCCTGGGAGCCAGGCTTTCCTCTGGCCTGGGCTTAGCATCTAGCCAGATGTTCCCTGAAGCACAGGGACCTCTCCCCACGCTTCCCTCTGTGCTGGAGGGAAAGGGGCCCCTGGGTCCTTAGTAGTGAGTCTGAGGTGTAGGGAGTAGAAGGTCAGAGGGGTACCGGTTCAGGATAATGGAGCCAAATAGATCCAGAAATTAGGGCTGCCCACTCCCTCCCAGGGGTCAGCAGGTGGAATGTGGTTTTCTGGAGAAACAGCACTAAGAAGACTGGAGAAGTCAGGGTTTAAAGAGGCCCTGGGCCGGCCAGGCAGGCAGGTCAGAAGGGCGGTCCTGCCTCGTCTTACCTTGGTGTCTGTGTCAGATGCTGCTATTTGTTAGTCACACGGAACCGCGAGTGGGAGCTGCCGCACTCCCCAAGCAGGTCTGCAGAGGACTTACAGACCACCACCAGATGGACAGACACAGCTGGAAGAGGGGACTGAGTTCTAATCCTGGCTCTGCCACTCACCAGCTGTGTGGCCAAGGGCAGACCACACCACCTCTCTGGGCCTGAGCTTCAGTTTCTTTAGGGCATCCAGGAAATGGGACTAGCTGATCTAGAAGGCAGTTGTGCGTTGTGGTGAAGAGAGCTCAGACTTCGGAGTCAGACCGCCTGGGTTAGAACTCTGGCTACGTTTCCTCTTAGTCTCATGACCTTGAGCAAGTTACCCATTCTAAACTCAGTGATAATGATAGCTCCTACCTCCTGTTGTTGTAAAGATTTTGAACAGGACAATACATCCTTTTTGACTCATAGTAACAATGACTTGTCCCTTCCAGTTATAAACTTCAGTAAATCTTTGTTCTACACAAATAAATAGGAGATACAGAGGAAATCTTTGATCTCAAGGAGAAATTCTCATTCCCTCTCTTCACCCCCAGTCAGGTTCCCATTTTGGTAGCATTTTCTTGTTGTCATTGACATCATTTAATATAGATGCAGAGAAAAAATTCAAAACAGATTTCTTTCACCCTCTGGTTTGGTGTGAGAGTTCAAATACTTTCTCTTGCTAGTGGTGGGCACGTGACATCCCCGAACAGTGAGACGTCTCAGCAGCCCTCAGACCACATGGTGTTGCCCGTGCCTGTGGTATTGGAGAAGATGCTGTGAATATTCCAGATAGGGTGCTTTTTTTTTTATCTATGAACTTGGGATTTTTTTAGTTATTTGTTTTCTTTAGATTCCACATATAAGTGAGATCATGCAGTATTTGTCTTGCTCTGTCTGACTTATTTCGCTTAGCATGATGCCCTCAAAGTCTATCCATGTTGTTGTAAAAAGCAAGGTTTCATTTTTTTGTGGCTGGATATTATTCCTGTCTCTGTGTGTGTGTGTGTGTGTGTGTGTGTGTGTGTGTGTGTGTATACACATTTTTTTCATCCATCAGTGGACACTTAGGTTGCTTTCATATCTTGGCTATTGTAAATAATGCTGCAATGAACAGCAGATAGGGTTCTTTTAAAGGGTCATTGCTGAAAATACCCAGGAGGTGGATTTTGGATCCTGCCTGGGGATCCTGCCAGGGACATCCGCCTGACTCAGGCCGGAGGAGGGGAAGTCAGATGTCAAGTCTCACCTGGCAAGAATTGGGCCCAGAGTGGAAAATGCACAAGTGTACGCGCCTTCAGTCTCCCCTCAGCTGACCTGAGAGATGGAAGATCGGATGGCCCAGGCTGGCTGGGCAAGGAGATTCCAGCCTCGTGGCCCAAGAACGGATTTCCTGTTGAGAGGAAGCTGGGGTTACCCGAGCTCTGATTCACCTTCCCTGCAAGTCCAGGATCATAAGCAGCCTAATGGAACTGTTTCACCAGCTGGGCCTCAGTTTCCCTTTCTGCAGTATTAGTGGGAAATCTCCCCATACACTCCCCCACCTCATTGTTCCAGGGATCGTTAACAGTAAAAGGAAATGAGAGAAACGTCCTTATGGAGCCAAAGGACTTCAGAAGTGCCTGGGGATTTGGAGGATGCCAGCACCCACTTGTTTCAAATCCCTGTCACCTGCGATGATGACAGTCACCACACCTAGCACTCACAGAGCACTTCCTCTGGGCAGGCCTTCTTCCCTGCCCTCCACACCAACTCATTTAGTCCTCAACACAACCCTGCCAGGTACATGTGTCATCATCCCCATTTTACAGATGAGGCTTCAGGAAGCTGGGGGATACCAGCTGAGAGCCAGCTGATACTCTGTGGAGTTGGGGTGGAGCCATGGGCCCCTCACTGCCTGTACCAGGAACTCCAAGGGGACCCCCAGACCCTGTTCTCAGAGCACTTACTCAAGCAGGCATACAGCAAGCCCTCAGTGAAGGGGGGCCCTGTGAGTGGGTGAGGCCAGGACACATACATTGAAAAATGAGTAGCTACACAGGGCTGTATACTGAGTGACAGGGCAGGGCCATTGGCGTTCCTGGAGAATGGTCATTGTGGCCAGGGTACCACTTGGCAGGAGGGTCTTGATAGATTTAGACCGCTTGTGACTGGGACCTGCTAACTTCTCACTGGGAATAGTTAGCCAAGGCACAGAGATGGGTGAGAGCTGGAGGCACCTCGGTGCAGGTGGGTCAGAGCACAGGGTTCCAGCAGCCGGATTGGGAAGGGGACCCCATCACACCCGTTGGCCCATCTCCCTTCTCTATGCTCCCCTCCAGCCTCCCCCATTCGTTCAGTGAGTCAGTGACAGGAAGGAGCCTTTGGCCTGCTGGTAATGCCCATTAGTAACCCCGTGGGGAAAGGGGAAGTGGAGGGGGAAGGGGAAAGGTGAGCCATCCCAGCTCCCTCAGGCCAGAAGGTCACAGCTGCATCTGGCCTTAACCCTGTCCTGCCCCCACTACCTCCAGCTGAGATGGAGGCGGCCAGGAGCCTGGCTGATCAGAAGCAGTGGGGGCATTTTGAGGAGCACCAGTTTCTAGGCCTCTCCCCAAACTACTGAATAAGAATGTCAGCGAGAGAAACTCGGGAATCTACTCGGAGAAAGTGCAGCCCCTCCCCCATGATGCCCTGGTCAGGTGGTTGGAGTGGCTCTGACCCCCCTGATCAGGGTGACACGAGGGTGCCACCGAGGGGAAGTGTCAGCTATGAATGAACCAGATGCCCAAAAGGGGCAGTTTCCTTCAAGGTGAAGTTCTGTACTTTTAAACAGTTCTGTTTTGAAAAGCTTTCTTGCCGTTCACTATGTGAATTTTCCAGACAGCTTTGGAACATCTGGGGTGTGTTCTTTCTTTTAAATCACGAGTTTAAATTGGAAAGACCAAAATTCCTAGGCCAGCAGGAGGGAGGTGTCTATCACAGGGCAGTGTCCAGGCATGTGTCGTCTCCAGGGCCTGAGCTGAGCACTGGGTGGGCTGTTGGGAGGCCCGCCCCCTCCAGCTGGTTCTCATCCCTCTGCCCTTCCCCATCAGGATGTGAAGATCTTCCGGGCCCTGATCCTGGGGGAGCTGGAGAAGGGGCAGAGTCAGTTCCAGGCCCTCTGCTTTGTCACCCGGCTGCACCACAATGAGATCATCCCCAGTGAGGCCATGGCCAAGCTTCGACAGGTGAGTGCCCGCCCCGGGCCTGCCCCAGCCAGGCTCCTGCCCCAGAGCCCTTACCCCTGCAGCCGACCGGGCCCCAAGCCTGGACTCCACCCTAACCTCGGTCTCCCATCCAGCACCTGGCCTTCCTTAGCCCTCATCCCTGGCACCCCACTCTCACCTTATAGTCCTGAACCCCCTGATTTCACCCCAGGCCAAACCTGATCCCATACTGCAGATCTCTAATCTGTGCTGAACCCCCAAGTCCCAGATTCCTCCAGTCCCCTAATCCCAGCTGCCCCCCATTTATGATGGAGGCTAGGGGCTTGGACTCTGAAGTCGGATCTGCCTTCAGACCCAGCGCCATCACTCATTATCCAGGCCACGTTGGACAAGTTACCTCACCTTCAGAGCCTCTATTTTCTTACTGAGAAATGGGTTATAGTGAGAATTAAATGAGATGATGCATGTAAAGTATTCAGTGCAGTGTTCAAAACTCTTCAGCCTGTTGACCTGCTCCCCATCCCTTCCTGGAGGCTGGGCCTCTCCCCAGCCTCATCAGAGTTCCCTAAACTATCCAGCAGGGCCTGCCCTAGGCCTCTCACCTTTTGCCTGCCCTTCCCAGAGAGATTCAGTCCCCTGGATATTGGAAAGTAGGGGACCCGGAAGCCATTTACCCTGAGACAGCCTGCCTAGCCTCCCCACTTCCAACAGCACCCCCAGCCACATGTTAGAATTCACCATCAGGCTCAAGACGTCAGCCCTGGGGCAGCTGAAAAAGCTTGGCTGTGCTCTGGGCATCAGTTTCTCCACCAGTTGAGGGGGGCTGGATGCCCCTTGACTGCCACTCCGCAGATGGCCCCAGGGTTCTAAGGACGGGCAGCCTGGGCCTGTCTGACTCTCAGCCAGCAGGGAAAGAATGGGCAGGGAGCAATCTGAGACCGGGTGGGAGTGGCTCTTCTCCTGCACACAGAAAAATCCACGGGCAGTGCGGCAGGCCGAGGAGGTACGGGGCCTGGAGCACCTGCACATGGACATCGCCGTCAACTTCAGCCAGGGGGGCCTGCTGAGCCCCCACCTCCGCAACGTGTGTGCCGAGGCCGTGGACGCCATCTACACCCGCCAGGAGGACGTCCAGTTCTGGCTGGAGCAAGGTCAGCTGGGTGCTGCCCACTGTATCACATCAAGTATGATAGAGTACAGTGATGAGATATGGGAGTTCAGGGGAGGGACCTCTAAACCAGGCGGGGATTGGTCAAGGAAGTCTTCCTGGAGGAAGTGACACCTGTGGCTCTTCAATGTGATGAGTCAGCCAGATGAAAGGGTCCCATTCCAGGCAGGGACACACAGAACTGTTACTGCTAGGCCGTGTGGAGGGAGATTCCCAGGCAACTCCCACCTCATCCCTGCCCTTGGTGAGAACACAGATGGACCTCTGTCATGGGAGGGGCACACAGGCACCAAGGTCCGGGCGGGGCCTGAAGACACCCATTCCTGCCTGCCCACCTCTGCTGCCACCTATCAGAAGCCAGCTGCTCTCCTCTCCTTCACACCTAACCCTGGTGCCAGCATCTCTCCCCAAGATCCTCGAGGACTCCTCCCATGTTGGTGTAGTCCCTGCCTTTCTGGCCTGTGTGACTTCACTGCTGGCCTGTCTGGTTACCTTTCCAGGACTGTCCTCAGGTCCTCTGTGTAGAGGGGACAGGGAGATGTCACCATTACAGCTCCAGGTCCCTGGTCCTTCCAGCCACCGAGCACTGGAGAAATGCCTGCCCCCCCAAGGGCGGCACTGGATTTAGAAATGCCCAATAGAGCTGTGGTCATGCCCTCCACACACACACCCCACCCCAGTGGGCTGCACCCCAGACTGAGGTGTGAGCCTGATACTGTCCTCCAGGGGCTGGTCCCTCCCGTGGCCACTGGCCAGGTCACTGCTGTCTCCCCAGCACCCCTCACATGCACACTCCCATCTACCCTGTGCCCCCAGCACCCAGACTTCCCTAGCATATGTGTGCTGGCCCTTCCCTGCCTGGCCTCCCCAGGTACCACCTCCTTTAAGAAGCCTTCCTGGATTTCCTTCTCACTCTCCCCAGGCTTCTATTCCATCACACTCTAGTATTGTGACGTTTTTAAGCATAGGGTGGAGTGGAGGCCTTGAAGTCAGACAGACTGGGGTTCCAGTCCTGACTCCCCTACTTCCTGTGTGACCTCAGCCAGAATGTTAAACCTCTCTGGGCCAGTTTTCTCATCTGTAAGACAGGGGTGCTAATACTTAGCTCAGAGGGGTGATGGGATGCCTGAGGAGGCCCTCCCTTGCCCCCTCCCTGACCTCTGCCTCTCCCCCAGGTGTGGACAGCTCTGTGTTCGAGGCTCTGCCCAAGGCCTCAGAGCAGATGCGCCTGCCTCGCTGTGGGCAGGTGGGGGACCGCGGGAAGCCCTGCATCTGCCGCTATGGCCTGAGCCTGGCCTGGTACCCCTGCATGCTTAAGTACTGCCACAGCCGCGACAGGCTGACACCCTACAAGTGCGGCATCCGCAGCTGCCAGAAGAGCTACAGCTTCGACTTCTACGTGCCCCAGACGCAGCTGTGTCTCTGGGACGAGGACCCCTAGCCGGGCTGGGGGGGGTGGTCCCTGAGGTAGCCGCTCTGGGCCATGGCTCCTCCCCCAGCCACCAGAGCGGGTGGCAACCCCCACCTGAGGCCTTATTTCCCGTCCCTTCCCTAATCCGGGAGCCTCTGGCCCCGTCACTCATGACTGTGAAAAGGGGTGTGGCCGGGCAGGGGTTCGCTCATGAAGGCAGCCCCCATCCCACTCTGCGCCTTCCTTGGGACAGAGAGGAGAAGGGGGTTCTTCAAATTTACACCCCTCCCCTCCTCCCTCTACCCTGAAGTGTTCTCTTTCCAGCAACCAAAATGTGATGGCCTGTAAATCTCCTCTTTAATTCTTTGAAGGTTTAGACCCTGAAAGGTGTCTATGTCTGTACACCCATCTCCCCCCACACACCCCCCATCTGGAAGGAGCTGGCCCCTCTGCACTGTCCCCCTGCCCAACAAGGAGGGGACCACTGCCCAGAGAGGGGGCTGTGGGGGACGATGCCACAGCCCCTTCACCGGACCATGATGCCTTCTTCTCACTGCTGCCCCGAGGGCAGACCACATGTGCCTTTCCCCAGACCTGGACTTGGCCGCCAGAGTGGGCGCCAGCTCTCCCTCTCTAAACAGAAATATTTTTGTAAGGTTTTGGGGTAGGGAGGGAGCATGAAGTATGAGGAAAACTTGAATTCCAGATTTTTAATGCAAAGTATTTATCATTTGTACCAGAAATAAAAGTTTAAATTTTTACTTGACTGAAGGCTCAAGACTTGGAGTTCTGAGAGAACTTTTAGCCAATGCTGCCACCTGGTGTCAGGAGAAGTGCTCCTGTACCCTGTCGAGGACCAGTCTGGGGACAAGAACTTCTAAGGCTCCTGCTGTATGCGCACCCATTGTGTGGTGGGAGAGGGTGGGGGTGGGGCTAGGAGGGGCTACTAGGGAAGATAAGACGAACTTCTGCACAAGACAGGACATAGATGAGCAAGCCAGACAGTAAGAGACAGCGTGAGATAAATTAAGGTGGGAACTCCAGAACCAGACTTCCAGGGTTCAAATCTTGACCTTGCTCCTTGTTTGCTGTGCAGTCTTGGGTGAAGTTACTTTACCTCTCTGTGCCTCAGCTCTCTCAGCTATAAAATGAGCTTAGTTGTGAGATTTGAGTGAATTCATACATTTCACGTGCCTCGCACATAGTGAGTGCTCACTGTGTTAGCTATTATTATAAATATTGTTGCTGTTAGTGAAAAGAGCAGACATGTCTGCATCTATGAACCTGAGACAACCGACCCAGACATCATGAAGGCTCCTTCACTTCAGAAGTATCTTCCAGTATGAAGAGGCTGTGATATGAGGTGCTGGGCCGGGCTCCGGAGGAATTCTGAGAAGGAGGGATGTGCAGGCTGACTTTATGGGGGAAGGTTTCCTGGACGGGATGGGACATGGATTGAGGCTGAAGGATGGTAAGAATTTGGCAAGGTAGAGGGGACTGTGTGAGCACAGGGCGGAGATGGAATGTTGCAGGGGTTGGGAAAGTTCCAGGGGACCCAACTGCTTAGGAGGGAGGAGTCAGGGAAGGTCAGATCCTCCCTCACAGGCCTTGGAGAGGGAAAAGGGCTTGCAGGGCAGTCTCCCTTACTCTGCTCCCCAGCACCCCCAGAAGAGGCTGCCGCTGCCCCTGAACCTACAGGCCAGAGGCTTGTGGTGGGAGCCAGGCTTGCTTGGCCATGGTCAAGTTAGGGGTTGGTGGGGAGACATCCTTTTCAGGTGGACGTCCCTTCTTGTTTTCAAAGACCAGCTTCGGCAGTGCTGGGGGCGGAAAGGGGGGGCGTACCTCCCCAGGCCTTTTCCTCCTGCCCCATCCGGGGCCTCAGTCCCAAGGCCCAACCCCTGCTCTGGATGGGGGGGGGATTACCTGGAGAAGCACCTCCCACCCCTTCCACCCTATGTGTGTGCCTTTACTGCTGGGGATGGGGTCCCTGAACCATATACCATCGTACTCATTGCCAAATAGCCAAAAGTCATAATTTTTTAAAAGTAATGTTGTCAAGACTTGGAGTGTTTTTCTGATCTTCCTGGAGAGCGACTATCAGTCACCTCCAAGCCTGCCTGTCCCCTTCGGTGAGGAGGCTTCCGCCATCACTAGAGACCACCCTGCCTGGGGCCCCTCCCTGGTCTTAGGGCATAGGGATGAGAATTAAGATTCCCTGAGACCGTGGGCTGACCCTATACTTAGGCGAAGGCAAAGCCTCCCACCATCCCAAACGGCCCTCCCCCCCACCACCCACCCCGGCTCTGTCATGGTGCCTCCAGTTCCACCATCACGGTCACTTCCTGCCCAAGTCTCAAGTCTCCGTGTGCATCAGTCACTGGTTAAATAGATGTAGACGGTCAGCTATTTGAGAAACACCTGGAGACAAGGCTCTGCTTTCCGCCGGAGGCCTTTGTGGCCATGTGGAAACACCTGGGAGAGGTAATTACTTACAGTGAGTACTCATTTCTCTGGCCGTTTAGGGTTCACAAAGTACCTTCATATAAATTAGCTCATTGGCTCCTTTAGCAATTCGGTGACATTTTATGGATGTGGCTGACCTATAAAATTATGTGACTTTCCAAAGGTCAGACAGCTAGTTAGAGCTGGGATCCAACCCCTGGCCTTCTTACTCCATGCACACCTACTGACCCAAATGGTTCATCAGATTGGCCAGCCGGAACTTCAGAGAGCGCAGCTCACTCACGGGTGGATGAGGAGAAGTACGAGGTATGGGGCACCTATTGGGGCCAGTCCTGCAGGAGCAATCGCTGTGTACATGGGGCAGGGGTTGCCCAATGCTCCCCTGGAACTGTGTTGGCAGGAACAGGCTCCTGATCGGTCCCCTTTGCCGAGGTAAGCCAGGCCCCTGGGCGGGAGACCAGGAGCCGGGACCTCACCGAAGCCTCTTCAAGCCAGAGAAGATGCAAGTGGTCCCAGATCACCCGGCCTGGGCTGGGCCTCGCTGTACTTTGTGGGTTTCCTTCAGGTTCCTGTCCCTGCAGTTTTGTTAGCCAAGGAAAGTCTGAGGTGGGGGAACTGTGGGGCCCCGCAGTTGGGGCGCCTCACCCTGGATGTGAAGCTGGATGTGGTGGGTGGAGCTGCCAAGGAGTCTGGCCAAAAGTGGAGCAAGGACCACCCCCAAGAAGCAAAGCTTGAAGCTAACAGTGCATGTGAGGAATGTGAGTGCCGGCCTCGTCCCAGCCTTGTGTGACTGGGTGGGTCACCCCCTTACAGGCCCCAGTTCCCTCATCTGCTGAGAGAGAGGCACTCGCTAGACCATCTCTGAGGTCTTCCCCGACGCTGCAGTCAACGGGGAATGGCTGCCCGGTGTTCTACTGCAGGTGCTTAACCATTCAGCTACTGGTGGACAACTGAACCGTTCACTGTGACTTGCTCTTTCAAGCCACACTGTAGAGAAATGTTAAAAATGGAGAACTGCCGTGGCCAGTGTTTGGTAGATAATGTCAGCTTGCCCTCCAGATGGGACTGCCCCAGGGTGCACTGTCACTAGCAGTGTATGAGAGGCCCTGTTGCCCCACATTCCTGCTGTGTCAGTAGGGCTTCTCCAGAGAAAGAGAACCAATAGGATACAGAGAGAGCACGAGAGATTTATTTTAAGGAATTAGCTCATGCAATTGTGGGGTCTGGCAAGTCCAAAATCCTGGCGGACTGGCAGCTTAGGCAAAAGTTGATGTCTGGAATCTGTAGGGCAGGCTGGAAAGCACTGTGTGTCACTCTGGGAGAGTGTCCTGACTCCTAAGCAGGGAGGGGGGATGCTGTGACACTGCGCACACGGCTCCCTCCCCCCCATCACAGGAAGCAGAAGCCTTGAGATGGGACGCCACATCTCTACCCACCCTGCACCCACACCCGCCTTTCGGGATTCCCTCATGTCATATGGGGGTAGTGTCCCTTCTCCCCGCACCCCAGGGCTCTGACTCCCAGCCCCACCCCCTGCCTCTCTGCAGAAATTGTCCCCTCTCTCTCACTTCCACCTCCCTCTCTCCTGCCTCCGTCTCATCAGCCCTGAGAGTATTTCAATCTTTCCCACCTAAAAAACAAAATAAAAAACACACTAAACCCAAGGCCTTCTCCACCTCAGCCCTATTTCTCTCTGTGTCTTCACCGTTAATCTTCTTACCTGAGTCCCGCTTGTCCCCAGCAATTCCCAGCCGTGGTGTTGGACTCAACTCTGCTGCAATCACTCACAAGTCATGTGTTACTGAAACTGGTGGATTATTTCCACCTGAGTCAGGGCTGACTCAAGGTCCTCCCTGTACGAATCTCATCACCCTCACCCACCTGTGATTCTCCACCTCTTGTGCTCTGATCTAGCCAGCCTGTACTGGTTGGGGGCCCCAACGTCCCGCACACCCTCCTGGCACACGCATCCCTTTGCTTGTACTCTTTACACCCACTCCCACCTCCCTCCTCTTTGCTGGGGATCTCAGCTTAGACGTCCCTTCCTCTAAGAAGACTGTCCTGGTGCCCATCCCCAGATTCAGGTGAGGCGTGCCCCGCAGTAGGCCCCCACATCACTTTCTATTTCCCCGTTAGAGCACGTGCCACAGTCTGAGGGACTTGTGTGTTCACCAGGCCTGAGGACGGGGACGGTGTCTGGTCTCCGTTCCGATCTCAGCTCCTGGCCCAAAGCATAGCTCCAGTGGGTAATCAACACATGCTCTGAACAGATGAACGGAGGAACGGCTGATCTCCTACGTGTGGAGGTGCAGGATTGGCATGTAGCTCAGAAGCCCAGGAGGGCAGTGTGGGAGGTAGGACATTTTAACCAGCAGAGCAGTCCAGCAACAGGACGGGCAGCGCAACAAGGCCCAGGGTTCCTGTCTCTGCATTGACTGGGCTGCAGTTGGCTGATTCCAACTGGGGTTGCATGGTAAAGTCTGGCCTTTGATGGGGATCATGGACTAGAAGACCCAACAGCACTCTGAAACTAAAATTCAATATCTCCAACTTGCCTGGAACTAGGGCCCTCACCTGTGGTTCACCCAACGCAGGACAGTGGTGAGACCTCTCCAGTCTTGCAGGTAGGGTGCTCATGTCAGGGTCACACACCCCCATGACCACAAGAGGGCGCCCTGGGCTTAGACTTGCCCTGAGCATGTGGGTGAACCAGGAAGCTTACCTGGTCTGAAGGTGGGGGGTGCAGGAAAGGGCTGAGGCAGGGCTCTGCTGAAGGTGCAGTTAGGGTGGCCGGACCCAGACCCCATAGTGACCCCAAAGTAAAAAAATTTCATTGGAAGACAGAGTTGTTACGCTGTTTTAAAATTAAATACATATTATTATCTATTTCTGGGAACCTTCAAGTACAAAATGGGCAATGAGTTTGTGTGTACTCCTCCCACTAGACGTGAGTGAGGGTTGCGACCCGGGTTGGGAGGGATGTCCAGGATTGCGGGCTCAGCATTAGGGATATCAGCAGCAGGAGACAGCTCTGTGTCCTGACTCCCATGTCCTCTCTGGCCCATTCCCCAGAAACAGTTGCTTTATCCCAGTTCCCAGAGCACCTCTCACTTTATCCCCTGACACTACCCCCTCCACGCCCCCCTGCAATATTCCTCATGGCACCATTGGATTTACTCTGAGGCGTGCACTTAAAAGAGGCCTGGAAGTTCTTCCTGGCCTCTCCCTTCCTTCCATCTGCTCTTTTGGGAAGCCTGAGCTTGGATCCATTCCCTGTGGTCGCCCCAAGGCAGGGGGATGACCCCCACCCCACACCCCCATGCTCTGGGTCCTGCAGCCCATCTGGCAGACAGAATGAGCTAGAAGGGACTTGTTGCTTGGTGTCCTTCCAGGACGCCTTGCTCTCCACCCTGCTCCCAGCCCTGACAACTCAATCCAGCTGACATGACAGGAAATGAGAGCAAGCAGCAGAGCCTACGGCCAAGAAGACCATTTTCTTTGCTGAGGTGGGGAACAGGGCCGGGGGCCCACCTTCTCCAGGGCTACAGCCCATTTCCAGCAATGTGTCTGGAAGGGGAGGCTTGATTCCTAGAGCTTTCTGTCCTTGAGCAAAAGAAGCTCACAGCATGCTCAAGTAGAAATGGAGCCTGGGGAGCTGGTGACTTCCTAGAGGGGCAGCCAAGGGAATCAGATGTCACCCCAGGAGGACCAGGAAGACCTGGAGAGAGGTCGGAGTTGAGCACAGTTTTGGAACCACAACATCCTGGAGGAAGGCTTTGGCTACTCTGAAAAAGTCCTCCAGCTGTTGAGAGAGGGCGGGGGTAAAGGAGGCCGAGAGGGTTCATTTACGTTTAATTTGCATTTAATTTGCATTTGGCCCTTTGATGTCCAAAGGCACTGAAATTTCCTGTCCTTGCTTTTTCCCTTTCTTGCCTCTGTTCTTTTCTAGCCTCCAGGCAACCCTCCATCTCTCTCCTCTTCCCCACAGCTTTTCCTCTCCCAGGCTAAACAGAGGGAGAGTATGAGGCCCAGAGGATTGGTACCTTCTCCACCACCTCCCATCTGCCCAGAACTCAAAAAGCTGATTTCCTGGAGACTGAGTGCTGGGAAGGAGGGAGGGATAAAGGGTTCTTTTGTGCCCCGCTTCCAGTTCATCTAGTTGAAATGATCATCAAGCAAGTCAGAGAGGGAAGGAATAAAAATTGTCCCACCCTGCCCCTTGCCCCGTGCACACATGTCACAAACGTACCCAACCCTCCAAGACCCAGGAAGAGCATATGAGGAGGAGCAGAGAGAGCAGGAGGGTCTCTGCTCTGCTGTGACTTGCCCTGTGACCTTGGGCAAGTCCCTCCCCCCTCGAACCTCCGATTCTTCATATGAACCATATCTAGGTTCCTTCCACCTTGAGTTACATAATCATGGAAGGAGAAGAGAAGGGGAGACTCAGGCTCAGACACTGGAGGGCGAGAGGAAAAGAACAGCTTTGAAGTCAGGCAGACCTGGTCTAAATCCCAACTCCGTCATCCGCTAGCTGCATTAACCTCCCTGCACCTCAGTTTCCTCCTCTATAAATGGAGTATAAAAATTGTCCCTTCCTCCTAAAATTGTGCCAATTAAATACGAAGGTTCATGACCAGCATGTAGCACCTTTCTTGTCACATAGGAAGCACTCAGTCCATATTTATTGAATGAATGAGTAAAGGAATGAGTAATTGACTGAAAGGGAGGTAATGTCTGCCACCCTCTCTCCACCCCCACCCCTCCCACCCTCTCATCCTCCCACCCCATGTCTGTAACCCAAAGCTGTGCTTCTGTGAACCTCCAAGGTCCCATCTCTGCCTCAATGGGCCCCAACCGCAAGAGCTCCACCTCCATCCCCATCCCTGGGACCCCAGAATCCTGGGATGCTGGAGCTGGAAGACCCTTGGAAAGCATTAGGTACATGCTCCTCTGGCGTCCGGAAAACTAAAGCCTGGAGAAGAAATGTAACTTTGCGCATGGAAGAGGGAAACAGGCCCCGGATAAGGTGGTCAGAGAATCAGACCCTCGGTGCATACAGCCATGCAAATGCTATGCAAATAGAGATATGGAAATCATACGCACAAAGGGGTATATAAACTATGTGCGGCATTTTTCTAGGATGATGACAGGTGACATGCAGTTGTAGATAAGAAATGGACCTCAGGGAAGGGACCAAGCTGCAGTGGAGGATGGGAGAGAAAGGAGGGAGAAGAGGAAGGAGGGAAGTGACGGTCTGGAAGTGTCCTGAGGGGGGTCCCTGGGTTCACTTGGCCTCCAAGAAGCCTTTCCTGACCTCCTCCGCCAGCCAGAAGAACCAGGAAGAAGGTCCCCACCTGTCTTGCCGAGAGTGGGAGAAAGAGAGGACGATGTGACGGGGAGAGTGGTTTGTATGGACCCAAAGAAGCACTTATTAAAGAAGCACGTTATTAAACACGTCCTATTCCTTTGGGGCCACTGTGGCATCCATGGGGCCCGTTCCGACACCTGTTGTGTACCCAGCCCTGGGCTTGGTGCTGTGGGCAGCCGATCAGTTAACAACCAGGAGGTAGGATAGAAAAGTCCCACAGACCCCGCCACAGGGGCTGTTAAGAGCACTGGAGTGTTACGGTGATTTAGAAACAGACAGATCAGATCACTTCCAACTCCAGAAAGGAGGTAGCATTTGAATGGTGCGTCGAGGGAGTGGAGGGCAATGCTTTAGAACAGGAGCCCTGATACAGCTGTGTATCACGGGGCACGGTAAACTCTCTAAGCCTCACTATCCCCATCTGTAAAATGGAAATCATAACAGTCCGGTTTATGAGTTATTACAAGGACTAAACAAGATTGGATGCCTCTAGTGTGGTGAGCACAGTTCCTGGCACACAGTGAAATCTCGGTAGGTGCTGGATTCTATAATAGGGATTATTGGGGTGGAGGGTGGGTAGACACGCCAGGTGAAAAGAACACTGTAAACAAGGCAGCAGCAAAAAGGTCCAGGACCTGTTCAGAGAGCAGGAAATAGTCCGTGAGACTAAGGGGAAGGTAGGTCCACAGGAGGCCCATCTGGAAAGGAAGGCGAGGCCCTGCCCCCTGTTGGCACATGGCTTTCTGGGCTCACAGGGCAGGTGTCCCTGGTCTTGGCACCACTTCCTGGGACCTGAAGAGTGGAGGAGAAGGGAGTTCAGATGGTGAGTCTATGATGGGTGCTGCAAAGAGCACTGGAATGAGAGTCCAGACACCTGATTCCAGCCAGGCTCTGTCTGTCACTAGGGAGTTGTGTGCCTTTGGACAAGTCACTTCCCAGCTCTGTAGATGAAGGACATGGCTGTTCCCACAACCCCAGACACTGGTAAGTAACTTTCACAGCATCCTGTCACAGAGCCTCATGCAAACTGGGACTAGCCAAGCAAGGGGCAGTGTCTTCACCCGGAAAATGCGATAATCACCAGGGCCCCAGCCAGGTCCCAGGATGTTGTGAGGGTGCACCGGGGCTAGGTAGGCCTGGCCACCTGCTAACTCCATACAGATACATGCCGGTTATGATTAGTACCTGCCCCCTTTTACAGATGAGTAAAATGCGTTCAGAGAGGTGGAGTGCCTTATCCCGTGTCACACAGCTGGTAAGCGGTTAAGAGGTAGGATTCCAAAATCAGATTCTTTCCAGCACACCCTATGGCTTCTCCAAACACTCCAGGCTCCTTGCAGCGCTTACACTTCGGGAGTCCGTCCAGACGGAAGCTCAGACCCCGGCTGGATAATCCGCCACGGGCTCCAAAAAAGGGAGAGCTGGACCCGGAGGCCGGGTCTCTGCGGGCGCGGTGGGGAGAGGCTGCCAGACCCGGCTGGGGCAGACAGGTGTTCCGCAGGGTCGGGACCCGCCCCGGCAGCACCCCCTGCCCTCTTCCCCGGCCCCCAGCTCCGCGTATGCAAATCGCCGCTTTGCATGGGCCCGGGGCCAGGCGCGGGGGCCCTGCCAGGGGGC